AAAGTGATTTAAAGCTCCATTGTATGTTGACAGTTTTCAAATAAATCGTAATTAAGTACGTCAAATAAACCACATGGGATTAGCGTTGTGACTAATGGGTAAACTAGGTGCGTTTATAAGGATGTGTGTGTGTGTATATTATGAAAGTTACACTTGTTTTTAAAGATGTGCGCCAAGTTGTACTATATTACATAGGCTGTCTTGTCTTGTCTTCTTTCAAAGCTAAAAGTTTACATGTCCATCCTTCCACCAGTGCTTAGGCTACATTGAATCTGAAGGTTTGTGTAACACACATCACAAGGAATACCCAGAATCGCTTGCTAAAACGAAAATTACAGAGCTGTTGTTACTCCGCGCTTTGTCGTACGAAAACTATTTGCTTCAGTTTAATTGAAATGAATCCATGAAAGCGATCACCTTAAGAATGGTTACAATTTGCATAAATCAATCGACGATATAAGTCGGTCGTTGTAAAAACTGGTCGCTGGTTTTAGCAAACTATATCTATAAGATCGTAATAAATTCAAATGTGTTTAGGTATCTGTGCGTTTCACATATCTTCAAAGTACTTGCCTTAGAAACCCCGATACTTTGAGTTTCCCATAAGTTGACGAATATTCAAATAAAGATCTTGTGATGTCATTAAATCGTTGTTGTTTGCCAAAACAGTAACCCAACAAGCATTCACAATAATAAAAATATCCCTTAGCAAAGACATGACCGACCGCAATTTATTTTTAGTAAAAAATTCAATTTTTTATTGCACAAATTTATTAATTAATTTCAAGTCTTATGCCATTATTTTTGCAAGTCTACCAACTTCTTTTAAATACCAAATATAGATTAACAGGGTTACCATCACCCTTAAAATTATTATCCCTTAATCCCATCAAGGAATCAACACAAACACTTTGGATGTACAATCGTATAGTCCTCGCCCGTCGATTTGTCCAAGCACTCTAACCTACCTTTCACTTATCTTTTGGTTTAATAGAGGTTATAGGTAATGAGAAAAACATGTCTTCTGCTAGCATTCGCTATAACATAAAGTTAAGGCATGCGTTTATTGATTCTCCTCATGGCCGATCATTGTCATACCTTTATGCCACCTTTATGCTACCCTAAATTGTTCTCTTTGTACAATTATTTCAATTTTCAATTTACATCGCATCATGTGCTCTCTTACTTAATTTCTATGGTTTTATAATTGTACCTGAATTTTTCTCAATGCTTTCTTGATATACAAAGAAGGGAAAAATGTGAACCGGCGTCTACGTCTTTTACAGAGTTGCCTCCGCTTCAGTAATCGAACCCGGATATCACTGCAATCTTATTTACGATCCTTAAACAATCTAAACCGGCTCTATCGGCACTTGCCATTGTCTTTTAAGCTCGTTTTCGAAAAACTTTACTTTGCAAAGCAGCGAAATAATCACGTTCGAAGCATTTCGAATCAAATCTCCGATATTCCATATTCCCAAACTCACCAGCAATGAATTAAACCTGGGCTAAATACGCGCAAATAGCTTAAAAGTAAGTGTAGGAGCAAAACGGGGTAATGATTGTGCTTCTTAACGGGCGGTTCTCCTATCTTTTCGGCGAAGTAGGAACAATAGGTCTAGGAAAGGGACAACCGCTCTTCTCAGGTTATTCGCAAAAATTCCAATTTTCGGGAATTATGGGAGTGGAAGCCAAACATGCAAATAAATAAATTACTGATTGAAAACAACGTTGGTCCGAGGGATCGATGTGCTATAAGTATACCTTGGGTGATAAAACATTCCAGCTCAGTGATGGTACGGTTTTTTTGACAGCTTCACAAATATAGAGCCGCCAAGTATTATGCCAAAAAACAAAAGAAGTTCCGGTCTGACCCGAACAGGTTCCCGTAACATACCCCAGTCAGGTTTATTATCACTACTCATAGTTCTGGTTTGCGGCCAATCGCGCCTTTAATAATCGAAACTCGTCGACTTTGGCCGCACCATTCGTCGGATAAAAGAGAAAAAGTCACTCATCCCACAAATATTTTCTCTTTTGGTTACGAACACGACTTTTTTAATGTTGCAAAAACAGTATTTTTTATGCTCTTCTGTTTTTGCATTAAGTTCAGTGATAGTGCTTTCTAAATGAGTTATCACAGCTTTGCGTCTCCCTTTAAATATTTTAAAAAACTTGTTATTCATCGCCCCAATCTCATAAATAAGACTTAGTGTAACGGAGAGGTTTCAATTTGCAAATTTCTCCCTCTTGCGTAAATTAAAAGATATTCCTATGCTGTACTCAACCAGTAGAGATAAAAGTAGAGAAAAAACATTCTTCAACAATATGTTTCAATGTATATGGATTGCTATGAATGGAGATGATGCTTTTGAACCCACTTAATAAAACTTCAACTCCCGGTCAGTAGTTTTGCTTTAAGCATTTTCCCCTCCCCTAAAACACGAATTTTAGTTTATTTCGGAAACTATTTACATTACACTTTAGCTCAATATTTTTATTCAGGTATTTTCCTCAACTTCCTGTCAACGTAAATTTAATTTCCTTTAAAATTTTTTTTGCCTCTTTGCTTTCACCTTTTTCTCTGCCTTTCTCTTTTACAAAATATCATCTGCGCTGGCAGTATTTCAATTATGCCCAGTTAAAGGTGTTAATTATATATATATATATATATATATATAATATATATATATATATATAATATATATATATGCAGGACAGAAAGAGGAAATGATGTGTTAATTATTGCAAATACAGCTCACGCTCCTGTGTATTTAAACCGTAAAGTGCATGTTTACCAAAGGCTTATACCTGTGCGTATTATATATTTACTTGCCAAATATAAACATGTTAAGTTTTAACTAATAATTAATTAATGATTGTGTGTAACTTTGAATGAAAACATTTTAAGGAATTTTACTAAATAGTAAACATGACTAACAATGATAGATCTCTTGTGCCAAAATGGGATTAACTTTGATGTGATTCTATTAAAAGCGATTTTAAAGTAATTTAAGTTTGTTTTCTAATTCTCGATGGTATCCTCACCATTATATACATTAATCAATTTGTAAACTTTATGTCCGTTACACTACTTTTTCGATAGTCTTCTATACAGGATGATCGAGTGAACATCCTATTTTCCATGTTCTTTTTCACGTTCTCCATAATAGCAGCAGATGCGTTCATTATTGCATGGCAAGTCGCTATGGAAAGCAACACAGCTGTGCAGTGTATAAAAATTATTTAAATTTTTTCAAAAACTTGTAAAAACATTGCAGGCAACCGCGGCCGGCCATTAAATACTCAAACCACACTTTATCTAATATAGTTATTCGTAAGGCCTTTTATTTTTTTACATAATGAGAACACAAATAAAATGCTATACAGGAAATAGTTGAAAAAGTGGTTATTCCTTGGACCAAAACACGTCGGTGGGTTAAATTTCATCAAAATATCTTAAAAATTTTAACCGGTAGGTTGAACACAAAGTACGCAGGCAGATGTCAGACGGATAGGCTGACACACAAATTCAGAATCACCTTCTGAAATGATTCGCACAGTAAATGATAGGTCTATTTCAAATCGTTGTGAGTATTTATATCTCTCAACAAAATTAATATACCCTGTCCAGCAAGTGATGTAGTGTACGAAAATGAAACTATCTGGACCACGTTTCCTGGATGTAAGAAAGCATTCCACCAGCAGTGATATGTTTTGTCAAATAACTGTACTTAACGGTAATTACCATTAGTGCCGAAAAATAGGCAAAAATATCTTACATATATTTGAAGCCCAAAAGTAGGCAATGCGGGCAATTACCTTTTCCCTTAAATGCTTTATATATTGGTATCGTTAGATAATAGTGAACAATACTTGCGTAAAATGGTAATATCAGCACTAACTGACATTTTGAAAATACCTTGCAACCAACTTCGCCCTTCCTGTTAATAAGCGCAAGACCTAAAGTCATATATATGTAAAGTGACTATGTATGTACTGCCTTAGGGAGGATTATACTCCTTTTTATCCTTTTTAACTCGATTTTTTCCTTTTGATTCATATGCCTTTTTGCCTTTACAGAGTAAGAGTTGAGAACGGATGTAAAGAGCATTCAAAAAGTAGAAAATAAGTATTAAAAAAAAGTTATCGATATGCGATATAGGGAAAAATCAAATGTGGCAGGTATGGAATTAAATAACGGAAAAAAAAAAAATCTAAAGAACATAAGTACAAAGCAGAAAGGATTTAAATTTTCAATACGTTCCGCTGTCATCCCAGAATTCGTCCCTCTAATTACCACAAACTTTATTCATTTAAAGGATATTTAGATGAAAGTGTCGTTGTCTCTAATAAATCAATTTTCTTTGCCCAAAAATATCAATGCGAAACGGTCGTAGGTACATTGATGAATCCCTTTAAAACACATATTCCGAACTTTTGTTTCTGCGATTACAATAACTACAATGTGATTACAGTAACGAATCGAATTGAAACTAAGGCAACTGCGGAATTTAAATGAAATGCATACAAAATTCATCTTAAAAATGAATATCTTTCACATATACATAATAACGTTCCGCTTTGCTTTCATGCAACAACACAACAAAACCATAATATTACGATAAATTTTGCAGTCATGCTTGATTTGTAGTTGTTGTTCATATTTTGCTGTCGAAAGATTTTATTGCCATAGATAATAAAACACTTGAAAATAAATTGCAAACACTCTCTTGCATGTATGTGCACCAAATGCATATAACGTAACCGAACACGTGCGTGTATGCTTCATATAAATATGAAACAGACTTGTCATAATATTCGATTACTACCTGCTTTTACAAATTTAAATCGATTGCTTCAAATACCAAATAATATACTCTCAACATATTGAATACTTGTACTTGATCGTTTGCGCTTATTGTGTATATGAATAACGTTTGTGTATAAAATAACGACATATATGTAACAATAAACAATGAAATTCTTTCTTTTGTTAATTTCAGTAAATTTCGAGCATGAAGATCAACGGAAAAATGGCAACGCCAATTGAAGAAAAAGTCGATCAAAATTTAAAGGTAATTTTTAAATGTTAAAAATGTTCAAGAAGAAGCGATCAATTAAATATGCTATGAAGTTAAATTAAAGCAAAAGATCACGAGTCCCTCAATGACGTTATTAATGGCGACGCGACGATAACTCTATGCTTATCAGAGGCAGTGTACACGATCAAAATTTCAAAATGTAAATGATTGTACGCGTGAACACAGGAAAGGACAGACGTACACGCCGGAATACCACGAAACCTTATTAACGCAAAACTTTTCAATTTCTTTCGATTTTTCGACGGGCAATTTTATCTATTAGAAGTACTTGACGGAACTATGCAGCGCAAAATTTATACAAACATTATTTTATTATATTAATACAGAAGAGCTGTAGTCACATCAAGTTTGATACCTCGGTATAAGTGCTTTCGAATGTGTTTGTATTGTATACCACTTGTGGTGCAAAGGTACGTTAGGTTTGCACGGATGTATGAAACACTCAGAACGATATGAGATAGACGCACCCTTTATTGTACAGATCCGTTCAGAAGCGCCTTCTGATTTGATTTAAACTTATCTTGCCGTCTGCCTGTACGTCTTGTATTCTTGTATTCAATCTGTAAGCCACACTGTCTGAATCAGAAAACTGAATCAAAATCAATTTCTGAATCAATCTAAGCTTGTCTGTCTCTCTGTCCGACTTGCGAAAAGGGGAAAATGAACTGGTAGTCTTTTTGAAAATTTATTTTTTATGGTAACAAAAATATTCTGAATCAATAAAAGCTTCTAAAACCATTAGAATTTGTTATTAGCGACCGCTGCCGGGAATAGGTATTAAGTCCTCATCACACGCACATTTCAAATCCGCTTTAAAAATCCAAATACAACCAAGCAATACGCTCCGTTGACTACTGGTTCCAATCGATGGGGGATGCGCCTTCCAAGCAAAGGAAGAATAAAGTTTAAACAAAATAAGTAAAGCACTGCTGTGGGACACGGACGGCTATTAAATACCCTACATCACTCCGCTTAACACAGCTATTCATATCAACAATTCTCACAATAAGGTGTTTTGTGGGAAATGATCGAATAAGTTACCCGTTCGTCTTCACAGAGCAGTACATCGAATTGGATACAAAAATATATGGACAGATATTAGACCTATAGGTAGACAGAAAGCCAGAGAGATAAGCTTACTTTGCAATTACATTCTGAATCGGTCGTTATACTAAAAGATAGATCTACGTCCTGCTACGATCCTACTGCATGTTGTTGTGTACACCTCAACAAACTGAATATATCCTGTACTGCAAGTGATATAGGATATAACAATTTCATTAAAAGAAGATAAAAAGAAAAAGTTATACCCAAAAGGAAAGAGGGTATAGGAAAGCTGTAGAGTGGAAATGCTTTCGTGTTTCTATGGAAAAATACCCTTTGTGCTTCAGTTACTTCAGCTACTTCAGTAGCTTCCATTAGCCTACGTGTAAAAGGAAGTTATAAAAAACGTTATTAAGTAAGCAACAAAAGCAACGCGTTTTTCCTATTGAAAGTCGGAATGTGTCCACACAAAAGAGGAAACAATAAATAAAACTAATGACATAAATGTTACGTTTTTTTCAATTTTTCCACTTTTATTGCGTGCAGTCGCTTATAGCCAATTCGACCGATTTCAGTAAACGTTTGTAGAGAAAAGAATAATTAAACTCTGTCCTTCATTTAAAATGTTTACAATGTATGAAGCACACACAACAACAGACACACTGAATGACAAATAGTCGAACTTTGCTTCATAATCTAGTGACTTTGGGCGAACAAGTTGATAGCTTGGCGTTTGGTGTGTTACAATAGAAAATTAACAATTCAACAGTAATATAAATGCATGTGTATGAGTGCGTGCAATGAAACCACTCATTGATTCATCAAAGAAGCTGCGAAATATTACTATTTTCCGTTATTGGAATGACTGTAACAACACATAATATTTATTGGAGTTACAAAAAATATAAAAATAATAAAATTTAATCATTTTCATTTTCATTCATTAGCTGATTCGCTATACTTCGTTTTGGTAAAATTAAATATATATCCATATAATGATAAACGTTTGACTTAAGCAAGTCGACAAGGAAATAATAAGAGCGAGAGAGAGTATTTCCTTGTCCATACAATACCTCCCACTTATTTTATATTTCTTAAGTCTTCCTACACCGTCAGATTAGAGTCAATGCCTACAGGGTTTTTTTCTCCAAGTAATTTTCTCAAGCGCGTTTCCAAAGTTTATTACACAGTAGATAGGGACAAAAAGCAACTATCAGAACATTATGGCGAAGGGACCGACCAAATATTATTTGACAAAGTCTAATTACTCGATAATAACGAAACATGCGAACAAGAGTCACATCGAAAAGAATCGAGAAGATTGACATATGTACAATCACGTGCAAGTCGAATAGAAGGAGAAATTACACAACGATGTGCTTTCAATGGGAGAAGAAGAACCGCGCAATTGCGTGTACATAAAACTGAAAATCATAACCAAGAGCGATCGGCAAGAGCTAGACGACAATCCTGAACAAATGCAGGATACGTAACCGCTTCAAGTTTGCTAATTAAATCTTGAAACCCTTGTCTTCACAAGTGACTAATTACTCCCGGGTTGTACCCTATTCGTGTAATGCGCTGACTGGCAGAAAGTAGCGAAGAGAAAGGAAGAAATAGGGCGGCAGTGGCCGTAGTCTAATGAGTCTATGCCCAATAGGGTACAATCGACTGAGCACTCACTACAGCTACGACCAAAGAAAACACTATCGTATTTGGGATTTAAGCCCGCGAGCACCGCAAATGCATTAATTCAAACCTATATGTCCGCTACACTTCTATGTTTCCTGTTTTTAATCTCTGAAAAGAAGCTCGCCGGGTCACTTAGTATAAATGATGACAGTTGCACCAGATATTGAGGCGAAATTTTGCGGAAATATTAAAAAGTCGGGGCAAAAAGTGCCACGTACCAATGTCCAACGAAGATAAATATAGATTTCTTATTAGCTCCATTTCTCTCTTATTTGAAATGTTCTTCTCTTTTTGTATTTTTAAACAGATCCGCACCGGTATGGTGAATGTCAGCGATGGCAAATGTAAACCTGAACCCCTTAGACTGAATTTAACAATGGAATTATTAACCTTGCAACGGCTAGAGATTGTGACACCAACCAATCCACAAAACGGTCCACCCAGCGAGTCCAAAGTAAGATACAAATATATATACATATATATATTAAAAATATATAATATATATTAAGAATATTTCTTTTTTAATTCACATAAATCAAGATGCATAAGAATTTTAGAAAGAATTTCATTATGTTTACTGACTTGACGTTTGCCCATGAAAGCAATCACAATTTAAACACAATTTTAATAGAATATAATTAAATTGATACCCAAAGGGCAGAAATGAAATTCATATTACAAATCCTTGGACAATGTAATTACACTAAGTGACGGAAGAAAGAAAATGAAGTCAGATAAAAAGAAAATAAATAAAAATGAAAAAAAAAAAAAAAATAATTTTAAGCCACATAGCTTAACTTAATTAATTATTTATTACATTTTCCAATTCCAAACTTATTTACATACAATCTCTCCGATATCAATGCGAAGCAATTTTGTTTTCTGAAAGGTCTATAGCTATAGATCACACAATGGTATTCACATTTTAATATAAATAATCCCTGGGGGGATCCTGCTTCACATCATGGCTCTTTAACAAACTTTTTTCTCTTTATTTATATAGAAAGTAATTTTTTGCTTTCTTCATTTCCTTCCTGTTTTTTTTTTTTTTTTTTTTGAAAACTACTTTCTAGGAACGCATGGTTCAAATAACACGTCAAAAACAAGGTGGTTTAGGTTTGAGTATAAAAGGCGGTGCCGAGCATAAGTTGCCAATACTAATATCACGCATTTATAAAGATCAAGCGGCCGACATAACAGGTCAACTGTTTGTAGGCGATGCAATTATAAAAGTGAATGGTGAATATATTACCGCCTGCCCGCACGATGACGCTGTCAATATATTACGCAATGCCGGTGATATTGTGGTCTTAACAGTGAAACACTATCGTGCGGCAACACCGTTTCTACAAAAACAATGTAAGTACTTTGATAATCTATAGAATTATTAAGTCCGACTCGTGTATCGGATAGTATTTCCAATAAAATGATTCTTAACCAGATGCGGGGAGCATGTCGCGTTGCCTCGTTGAAATGTAATGCAAAGAAAGGCATAGCAGTGATCAGCGATAAAGTAAATTCGTGCCATCACTATTACGTTCGCCTCCTTTATCAGCAATCCTTCTGATCGATAAATTCGTGCCATCACCATTACTTTCGCTTCATTCGATTAATTACTTCACTATCACATCTTATTGCCCATAGTTCGTTTATTGCAAGAATTAAAATGTTCGCGTCGCTTCATAATCGGTTGTCGCATAGTCGGGTAGATGAGGGTTACGGGTGGGCGGTTGTGACCGTACTTGGCTGGAGCTAAGTGGTCAAGCCACTTAGCCGCACTCCATATCTCTTCCTTTCCCTACTTCTTTCCGATCATCGTCGTCTTACGTATATGGCGAAGATTTCCTGAATGTTTTCTCATATTTAAGACAGTTTTCTTTATCTTAATTTAAGCCAGCAATCCGAGATTAGCCACTTCATAGGCTGCTTTGGCAATTCTGCTTCAATAACATATATGTAGAACAGAACCACTATCCATGGCATCATATTTTTCGTGTAATTTTTGTTATTTCATAGTAATGAGAATTGTGTAACAACCGCTGAACGCGTTCTAATAGCAAAAACTTCCTACAAAAATGCTGATTCTATAGTAGGCACGTTTGATGTATTACGAGCAGATTATGATCGATGTAATCGTATTTTTGGTTAACATAGTTCAAAGATGTACTGTTCTACGACTAAATAGCAGACGTTATGAAGATGAGAAAAGTTGCAAAGTATTAGTGCAAGGCTTAAGACATGTGAATTACTCCTTTCGTCCTTTCAATTCATCTCATATTCACGTCATCAATATGATTAATCTCTGAAAGTCGGAAATCGCTTTAGCACAAATACACAAGCAGTTTATTGCAGTTTTACCCATAAAAACAACAAAATGCTTTGCTTTTTTTGCAAACCTTAAGGAAAATAGTGGACAGAGATGATTTAATAATTTTTCCAAGAAAAATTTACTTCATTCTCTGATAACGTCGGTGTGTTATAAATGACAACTTAGGAATATAGATTCAATAGAATGCACTGAGCAGAGCACGAAAATGAAAACCGAGACGATAATAAATGTGAAAAGAAGCCTGCAAAAAATTGTCAATGCTATCATTTCGTGTAGAAAAGACTAAAATTATAACAATGTGTCGAAAATTTGAGTTATTACTTACGATAACAAAACACACAACAAGTGAAACAAGTAAGAAAATTAACTACGGTCGGGACCGATTCTTTTATACCCATCAGTGTTTACCCCAAAAAAAGACAAAAGAACACAATTCTCAAAGTCCATAATATGGGCTGGCGTAGTTGATTTCTTCTATTTGCAAAACAAAAGTTTTTGTCGCCGAGGCATATGGACCTTGTAGGCTTGTCCTTGGAAAAATTTACGTCAATTCCAAATTCTTGTGCAAGTTTTTAGGCGATATCTTCATTTTCGCTAACGGTACAATATTTACCATAAATACTACAAAGTTACCCAAATAGACAGATGGACCGATGAACAGGCAGACATGGTTCTCAGTTTACGTGGTGCTTTGAGTTGTCCTTCAATCGATTTGGACCATTTTCAATATCAAGTTGTGTGCGGAAACTTCCAATATTTGTCCCAAATTTGAGGTCGATAGCTTAATTTTTGCGGCCAGGAAAATATTTACAACAGACATTACATAGATGGACGGACGGACATGCTTATATGGATTAAAAATTTAATGCTGGTCAAGAACTTATATCTTTGATGCTTCTGCACTTTCTGGGCGTTGTAAACGTTTTGACAAAATAAATATACTCCTCATCCTTCGGTGGAATCTTTTACACCCACTACGTTTATTCAATAAGACAAAAAAAAAAAACGAAAGAATAAAATTTCGGTACCCTATAATATTGCATGGACATGGCTGAGTTTTTCTACTATTGTAGCATCACCCATAAATTGTACATAGAAATTGTTGCAGTTGATAAGTAATGAGCAAAAATCGCAAATGGCTTTGGCATTAAAAAGACAAATTCCCTCAGCTCATTTTTTCCCCAACGTCGATTTCGGGCATTTTCAATGCCATCCTGTATGCAATACCTTCCAAATTGAAGCCAAATTTGAAACGGATCTGAATTTTTACTACCGAGGGAATGATTGCCACAGGCAGACATCTAGAAACGCGTACAAACGGAGAGAAATGCCTAAATCCATTCAAAATTTGACGCTGATCAAGAAAGCATATACTTTATTGGGCCTTCGAACATTCCCTTTAAGAGTTGCAAGAGATTTGACGAAATGAATAAAGTAAAATAAAAGTAAAAAAATTGCTTCTGAAGGAACATAGTAAAGCAAAAACCAAAACTTATTGCATGAATTATTCGCGATTATTCGTTAAAATTCCTCTGCAATTTTTTCGATTTGAGAAAAACCAAGCACCATTCGACAGTGGGAATATATTAAATTTAATATTCCGCTTACCACATCTAGAAGAACACGTTAGGAAGCCCATAAGATACGTACATTTATATATATATATATAAAATATTCATTTTATCAAAATGGTTGCAACGCCCAGAAGGAAGCATCAGAGACCCCACAAAGTATATATATTCTTGATCAGCATTAAATTCTGAATCGATTTAGGCATGCCCTGTTTGGAATTGATCTAAAACATTTCCAAGGACACACCTACCAGACTCTACGACAAAAACTTTTATTTTGAAAGTAGAAGACCAGATGCGCTCCTTCCGTATTACAAAGCATGAGAATTTTGTCCTTTTACTTCTTTTGTCTTTTTTTTTGGGTAAACAGTGATGGGTATAAAAGATTCAGTCCCGACCGAATTTAACTTTTTAGACTTGTTTCAAGAAAATTGAAATTCGGCGTGTGTATTTTTAGTTGATCAGCATAAGTTTGAAAATGGGCCTTATAAGCAGAAAATGGGTGAAAAAGTAAAGCTTAAAGCTTATAGGAGGCAAGTAGAACTACGGAAGTGCCCATAAAAGCAGCCGACTGTACTTTTGGATGATAATTGTTTGTTAAAAGAAATCACTACGCTTCAAGCTGTCCGCCTTATCAAGATTAAGTTCGTAGTTTCAAGACCTCAGCTTTACAACCGTGAATACTAAATCTTCTTAGGGAACATTTAAAGAGCGAAAAACCTTATCATTATTAGTGACACTTTGGAAGGTCTTAGTTCAGCCAATATCAAAGCCAATGCTTTCTAGGCTGCGGCTTTGCGATTTTGATCATAAATAAAGGATTATTAAGAACAGTGCATACTACTAAGACTACGTAATTAACGTTGAATCTAATTTTCTTATTTTCTTCGCCCATAATATTTTGCATGAAGTTCTGCAACGGCGATCTTGTTCAACGTTCAGAAGTTATCAGTTACCATCCGAGTAGTATGAATAGGCGAATATATGAGAACCGCGACTATCAAGTCAGTGTTCGCGGATTCAAATCAGAAGAGTAGGTAGAGCGGTAGAGTTTTCTTGTGAGTGGACTCAAAATATTTTTTATCCCTCTCTCTCACTCCTGCTTCAGTTCCATTCTGCACCAGAAACGATGAAGCAAGTTCACAAAATGGTGCTGAATGACCGCCCGCTGAAATTGATCGAATTGACATTCCAAAAGCAGGCACTTCCGAAAGCGCTTGATTATAAATTTGGAGTTTGAAAAATTTGCTCGCAAGATAGGGGCAACGTTTGGAACGAAAATAGCCGTTAACAAATCCGTTACTGGCATGGCGAACATCGAAGAGTTAAAATTTTTGTATTTCTTCAAGCGCATCATTTGCAATTCATTTAGCCGACATTCGACAAAAGGCACTTGGATATTCGAGACTTCGATGAATTTGTTGGTCATTTCACAGGCTGGAAAGTCAGTTTTACCTCATTGAAGAAGAAAACGCCTACAAAATGTAGACACGGATAATATAATAGTTAGTAAGCTTTGTATTTCGGATAATTCTACGTAAGTGCTGTTATTGCACTGAAAAAATAAAAAAAAACAAGTAAAAATATTTTAGTGGATCGCGGTACGTCATTACATACCCTATAGCCTTTCGCTTAACGCAGGCATTCGTATTAGAGTTTTTCAAAGTAAGCCTTTACTAGGGAAGTAATCGGAAAAGTGGTCCAATCTGAAAAATTTTTAACAACATTCGTCTTTGGATCTAAGCACATCGATGCGAAAAATTTCATCAGAATATCTCAAAAAATGGAACCTGCAGGTTAAACTCAAGAATCGAACGATATGGTAAGAAATGCGTCCATTTCAAGTCTTTCTGGATGTTGTACACAGAGAGAGACACTTAACTTAATATAAGTAGAGATAGTATAAAAATACGCTAGGTACAATGAAGATAGAAGGAGAGCGAGAGAGAGTACGCACAATTGAGGTTGTACGCAGAGAGACAAAAGCTTTTTTTCTCCTAAAAATAAATTCTGTGCCTTTGTTGTTTCTTTGTTGGCAAGAAATTTTTTTCGCATTACTTTCTGCATTCGTAGTGAAAACAAAAGATTTTTAATCTGATTTCAATGGATTTAAAATTTTTCTGTGTACTTTGCCTCGATACGCTAAGAATAGAGAAAATATAGAAAAATAATTTTGTTGTAATTTTTTTTTTTTTTTTTTGTTTTTTATTAAATAAAAACAACTTCAAAAAGTTGAGTTTACTAGCTTAGAGAGTTCTATGTGTTTTTGTTGTTAACATTTAATTAGTTTGTAAAAATCTGAACAATAATACTAACAACAAGAATATCTCTCATTATTTATGAAGTACAATATGGAATCAAGAGGAAGAGGGATGTAAATATAATTATAGAGTGAAAATATAAAAGTAAACAAGAGATGATTCATATCTATTACCGCATATGCATACACATGTTCGTTTACATAAGCCCACATAAAAACATGCATATATACATAATACATACAGATCATGTATTATAATTGAGCATTTGTACTATAAATACTCGAAGGAGTACGTTTACCTCGAAGAGATAGTAGAATTTTTTTTTTTTTTTTTTTTTTTGCAGCTTTTCCTTTTCATGTTATTCATTTCCAAGTCGGGTTTTTTTTTTTCGTTTTTCTATTTTGTATCATTTCCTTTACTACTGCTGCTATGTTCGTTGCATCATTCATCCACGACGACGCGTCATTATCGTCGACATCGTCATCATCTTCGCTAACGTTATCGTCATCGTTGCTGCTAACATTGTCTATTTATGAATTGCATTTTTGATGAGTTTGTGTATTTTCATTTACGCATTTTTAATGTAGTGGCGAAAGATACACCAGACTCGGATAATGATACAACGTGCGCTGAATTAAAGGCCGACGAAGGCTATAAGTCCTCAGTGAATAACGGTGGTGGCGGTACAATTAGTCGCAGTTGCAGTCGACCAATGTCAATTTGTTCAGAACCGGAAAAACGATGGATGGATGTAGTAGCCGGTAAGTAGGATAAATAAGATATGAAACACATTGCCGGTAGCAAAACGAAGCATATGCTTGCCTGCATGCTTGTTAAGAATATTTTGTCTAATTTATTTCATATCTCGTAAACTTTATTTTCTTTGTTTTTTTTTTTTTTTTTTTTTGCGTTTGTTCATATGCGTTTAGTGCCGCTGATGATGGCGTATGTAACCCGATATATCTACGGCACCGATAAACTGAGACCGAATGCGTTTGAGGTGCGTGGTATTAATGGAACATCAACGGGCATTATACACTGTGATGATTTGGCCATATTGAGTCAATGGCTAAAATTAATTAACGATAATGTTGTGGGCTTAACACATTTACAGGTAAACAATTAATTTTATGCAAACTCATACTCAAGCGAAAGCGAATACAGTAAACCCATCATTCATATGAACTACAATTAAAGATGTGATGAAACGTTCAATTCTGCTTTTCTCTAAATTCGTCAACAGTTCAAAAAAAAGGCTAATACACTATCGTGTTGTATGACATTTCAATTCAATTCAATTTCATTACTGACAACACCTGCCGTGCGCAGCAGGACAATTTCCTTCTTTTTTTTTTTTTCTTCTTTCTTTTTTTTTTTAACGATACTAACTAGCAACAAATTGTAAATACCTCATGTCGAGTTTAATTGAATTGAAGGGAGCAAAAATGGGAAAAAGTAAATATCTTAAAATGAAACTTTATAGTAAAGGAATCTTAAATGCATTTGTTTAACTTGAAAATTTAATGCGTTTAAGATGAAATAGCGACGATAAGCTTTGGCATTTTGAAACAGGAAGCTTGAGCTAAACACATTTATTTTAAACTATTTACTGTGTATGCCTTCTTCGGGGTGAATACGTGCCGCATAAAATGATGCCTTATTATTATTTATTATATCTGTATATGTAAAGTATAATATTTATACCCATAACCAAAAAAATTTTAAAACTCTACAGAGGGTTTCATTATAATTTGTTTATTATTTTCATTGATACTATCGCATTTTATATTGTGTATGCACATAATTTACATATTTCGGGTCCTTTGTACATTGGTTGTTTGTATTAAAGAAAAAGGAAACTGCGGGGGAGCGATAAAATGTACGTTCGATTCGTGCAATTAATTTAATTAAGAAAAAAATATTGAAAACGATTTAAGAGGAAAAAAAACAAAAACAAACAAGAACACTATGGTGGGACATTGTCTGCCATTTAACACCCTATAGCACTTTGTTAGTGTAGCTAATCATATAAAACAATAACAATCAAAATAAAACGTAATAGAGGAAGCGGTCGAGAAACTGGTTCAGTCATGCGTTTATCTATATGCCAGCTACAAATGTACATTTCAGCCATATACATACTAAGTGAAATTCTTAAAGTTACATATTTCAAAAGAAGATCATTACTTAATAGACCAGCAAAGTTAACAGTTCCTCTTATAATGTAAAAAATTTCGTGGCATATTTTTCGGCTTAAAGTACTAATATGTGAACTTAACTCAAAATATTGAACTACGATATCCAATCAGAAAAGCGGACAACTAAGTAAAGAGTGTACAACGTCAATCAAAGCAAGCAACAAAGGTAAAGTAAATAGTATACAATATCTTAGACTGAAGGTATTCGAAACCAACAGAATCCCAAGTAATTACGTCTATTATATATGTCAGTTTGTAAGGTATGGTCTACCACGCTGAGATTCCAACCCACGATCATCGACCTGGCAGTCTTGAGTCTTATCCCCTGGGCTAGACGGTTCGAACCGAAACATTTTGACTAGCTCTCCTTCTTAGGCCAAAGCATGTCGGTATACCAAATTTTTTTTAAATATCTTAAAAATTGTGATCTGTATGTTCAACAAGAAAAGATAGGACGGACAGACAATCTTATGTAGGTCTATTTCAAGTCCTTTCGGCTGTTGCGTACATCCGCGCAATGTTAATATACCCTTTCCTTAAAAAGTCCAGAGTACAATCTAGCTAATACATTTCCCATTTTCGTAGTCACTACCGACGGGCTTGCAATATGCACAGAGAGCACTCATATATTCTTAATCCCCATTAGAATCCACCCCAAACTAAATACGTCCCTCTGTCCTCGTGGGTAATGTCTGTGGTAGGCTTTCTTTTGATTGGTAAAACCAAGGTATCGCCTTGATATCTTAGAAAATACATTGCAAGACCTTACAGGTAGGTATAAATCGTCCAAAGGACGCGCTTGCAGTACAAATACAGAGGTTAGACCACTTCTATCATTTTCAAAAGCCAAAAAAATTTTGAATTATTTGCTGCTTAGTCATCAACTACAAATAATACGACGACAAACACTTGTGCGTATATTTTGTGGGCGGGCCTAAATGAAATTAAAATTTTTTCTATTACGATAAAGTGATAGTATTTTAACGATTTTATGGCGAAAATTTATACAGAATAGCGGTTCAATGTATAAATTTATTGCGATAAGTTTGGGCCATGCAGACCTTCATTTTGGATCTTTTCCCACAAACGGGCTCTCATGATAAAAGCTAATGTGGCCTTAAAGCCTAATTTTTTCTATTTTTGTGTCTTGTCTGAAGACATTGCTTTTATTATATTTCATTTTCATTTCATTGAAATTCTGAATCGATTAAGTCATGTGTATCCGTTTGTAAGTCTGTGTGATGTGTGCTTTTGGCATTCTCCTGAAGATAGCGATTTCAAATCTGGCAGGAACATTGCAAGTTCTCGCACCTAAATTGCTATTGAAAATGCGCCAAATTGGACAGTACACCAACCCGTAGTAAGCCGTAAACTGGACGCAACTCCGTCTTTCGAAACAAAAATTTATTCCTTTTTGCTCATTATTCAAAAATTATAAATGATAGATGACTGAAATTTTCTACTTAACTTTACGGCACATTCCATTCTTCACGTGAAAGAATCGACCCTACTCGCACAAAGTTTTTTGAGGTGTTATGCTTATTTATCGTAAGGCAAACAACGCGGAATTTTTAACATTGTTTTGTAAATTCCTCAAATGAAGATGTATTCTACCTAACTATGCTTTAATTCTAAACTAAATATGGTGGACAGAATTTGTAGCAAGGGTTTAACGTGGGTTCCTGCCTGAAAGGCTTAACCCCACGGTGGCCCAAGCCACTTTAAGCATACAACGCTCCCTGGCGAGTTAGGCATTCCCCACTGAGTGGGGGCCTAAACAACACCAGAGTCCAGAACGGTTTATTGTGTATGGAACAATAAACCCCACTCTGGTCAGTGAAAAAAAAATGGTGGATAACCTGATCTGGTGGATTAATGTTTTCTTAATAAACGCAGCGTTATTGGTATTAAATAAAACAATTTGGAGAGTAGAATGCGACAAGCTGAGTGTATTGATTCCAAATTAAATGCCGCGGACGTCACGAACTAAAAAGTGGAAGAAAAATTTCACCCCATGCACTTTTTTATGATCACAAATAAAAGCACGGAGGGCGAGAAGTTTTAATGGTAGTGGGTATGCGGATGGCATTCGGCCGCAACCGAATATAATTTGCCTGCTTGTTTTTTTTTTGTACGATTTGCCTATAAATTATATGCTAACTTATCGTATATACTTTTTGTATATCTTAATTGTAAAAATATTGTAAAAGCTCTTAAGTAAACAGAGAAAAGTAATTTGAAATTTTCTTTCTATAGATGAAACTTTATAACAGAAACTTTGCGGTGGGTGAACGCATCGAATATATGGGCTGGGTGAACGAAGGTGTTATCAACAATAACATCTCTTGGCAAAGTTATAAACCGCGTTTTCTGCTACTTAAAGGTACTGAAGTTATGCTCTTCGAAACACCACCGGTAAGTAAAATATGATTCATCCAATTTTAGCTAACACTACAAGGATACATTTAATCTCGTAAATAAATGAAGGCATAGATGTGTTTATTACCTTCAAAATCAAGTTAAAATATTTGTTATATGCACTCAAACAAACTAGCGTATAGATAAACTCTCACATGTAATTGAAATAGTATAACAGCAACAACAACAACAACGATAACAAAAACATGTAACGACAGTAGTAACATGTCAGCGGAAACGGTTGCGCCAAATGATACAACAAATATCCAACTTGGTTCATGCGAAAATATTTGATAAGTTAAAAAGTATCGAGCCTATTGCTAAAAAAACAGTGCTAGGTTATCATAGCGAAGAAGTTTTATTTCGCATTTGAGTTCGAGTAAAGTAGACCTAGGAGTAAAGTCTTCGTACGCATACGGAAAAGAAATAATCATTCTCCAATAGACTTTATCCCTTTCGATATAGATGGACGTATTGCTTACTTACCCTACTTAGAACCCTGCTTAGGAGGATGACCTATGCAAAGTAATAAGCGAAGCAGGATGCATTCGTTTATTCAAAGCAGCCTTTGCAAGGAAGAGAGCAATAACAGAAAAAGTGGATGGCGCTTTCTTCAAATCTTCGAAGTCGCTAACAACCCAATCGCCTAAGTGTAAAGGAGAAAACACTTAACCAAAGAAACTACGAACTTTAGGCGCTCTGTAAAATTTGACTCAACAACAACGACAATCTAAAGTCAAGCCCTTCTAGTACTCAAGAAAGCAAAGTATTGCCGAGCAAGGTGACTCTTGCACAGTGGAAAGTTAGTACGATTTGTTCCAAGGAATTGTGAAAGATATGATTGAGATTGTCGTGCGCCTCATTATAAGGAAACCTTTTAAGATGCAAATATATTTAATGACGCTCTAGAAGTTAAAGGAGCGGAAAGACTTTGCAACGATGAGTCAAGGGATTGCATGATTACATTACTATTTCTTTGGGACTCCGCAAAAGCCCTCTAAGATCCTTGCTTTAATTTTCAAAAAACCTAAAGGACAGCATTTTCGTGTTTTATGAAATAATGACATCAGATCGTCGTACATGATGGTACACTTATTGTGTCATATTATTATCTCCCCATGTAGCAATATATATATATACATACATGTGTATGTACGTACACGTACGTTCTTATATATGCATGGCTGCGTGTCTTCGTATATGTAACAGCACTACATATTTTAAATATCGATCTTCAAGCTCAATAGTTTTTAGACAACATATGGCGAACACTTCTGCTCATTGCAAATTTCACTGCGAAACTGTTTTTATAGGCATTTCAGTCCGTATATGCTTGCTATTTGCACAAATTGAAAATAAATTAATAGCGCACACACTCATACTCGTGCATGTTTTCATTTATTTGTGCAATATATTCAAGCGTATGTACAATAATAATTAACTTTAATAATGCGAAAAAAACATGTTGACACGGACAAGCCTTTTAAATAAATGAAATTTAAAATTTTACGCAAAAATTTGCATACCAATGAGTAAAAATTTCCCAAAAAAAAAAAAAAAAAAAACAAAGTACAATAATATAAAATTATTAAATTAATTATCTATTATTTAAATGGCGCTCATATTGCAACTTTTACACTATAGCTGACGTACTTCACAGCTATATGTGAATATGTGTGAATAGAAATCTATTTAAAACTTTTCAAATCACTTTCAAATGTTATCATTATTATTCTCATACACACCCACACCCACGTACATGTGCTAAAATGTTTAAAGTATTCTCTTAAGCTGCCAAGATAGTACTTTGCGGTCTTTAAATTTATTTCTTTCCAAATTAATTCGAGTAGCTTTCGCATCAGGCTTTAATCCTTCTTAGCCAAAAAAGGATATCAATATATTAGGTTACTATCATTTGTAATAAACTTTATCATATATAAGGTTCACAATGAAAGATAATCGAACAGCCATTAGATGGACAATTGCTGCTTGGCAAATACTTTATCAGTTTTTAAGCAAAGTTCAACAGTCCCCCAACACATTGCAAGGCAACTACTTTGATATATATGTTTGCGAAAAACATGTATATGTGACCGAATTTCTTTACATAATAAATAAGAAAATTATATTCGGCCGCGACCGAATCTTTTATAACCATCACTGTCCTTATATAACAATTACAACTGGAACATCTCAAGCAAGGTAAAGAATACCGTTGTCTCTAACATAGACAAAATTAAAATTTGGTCAGGTACCGAGTCGTTTTGGTCTCTTAAAAAATAAACGAGCAGCCTTTGCAGCCGAATACATAGCATCGACACTTTTAATGATGGACGGCACAAGGGAAAGTTTGGCTTCAAAAATATCTTAGAAGAAAAATCGAAAGGAAATGGACGAAAAAAATCAACAGTGGCCTCATTGACGTTACCACTACTCGCGTTCGAATATTGGAGAGGTTTCGACATTCACAAAGTATGTCTTTAATCGCAAGATTTGGCACATTAGAGGAGTAGACTCCTTACGGATATGTTGCAATGGCATTCAAATCTCAAGTCCGGTAAAGTTTTCTGAGGCTGTAGCTGTAATGAATGAGTAATTGATTGAATATTCATTAGTCCCTATATCTCTTACTCTCTTCGTTCTAACCGTCAGTACGTTACACGAATAGGGGACACCCTCTGTGTGATTGGTCACATTAAAAGAAGAAGAAGACGTATTAAGATTAGATTAGATATGAGCAACCACAGCCCGCGAGATGGTCGAGCCCCGTCCTTTACGTTTAAAAGTTCAAATAGTTCAAATTGCATGTAGCAACGCTGCAAATAGATTGTATCTGCCTTCATGACCAGCTCTACTATACAGCTATTGGACATGAAAAGTGTTTACCTTTGTTCCATGAATGCCATAACATGAGCGAGCTAAAAAGCATGAAAATTTACGCTTTTTTGATAATAGTTGGACTAGTGCTTGGTTAGTAATTGGCTAATGCTATAGTCAGTCTTGCCATTTATTTATCTGGCCAAATAAATAACAATAACAATACTCTATAAATAAAGTCCTGTGAGATTTCCAATGCAGTGGTGGAAAAAGCGAGAAAACCTGTAAGACCCAGGAGTCAATGTTACTTAAAAGTATTATGTAGGCAGGAAAATTAAACCAAAGAAAAAAGAAAGAAAAGCTCAATTTACTTAAATCCTGTTGTCAAGGCTTCATTCTATATATTGAATATGTTGTTTTTAATAGCCGGTACGGGTGTTCAAGGCTTAGCGTTAGTTAACCCTTGATCTCGCTGAAGACTGACTTTTCTCTAAAATCACAAAAAGGCACTACTCCAAAAATAGCTGACGAGGGACACTTTCTGCGTCACAGAAAGTAATATTTTTATCATCTGGCGAAAGTCAGGCACAAGGTCAGACGAGCTTAGACTGTAAAAGATTAACGCATGTGTCATTTTAAAGCTGGACACTTTGGCCGTAAAGTTGAGTTTTCACTTCTTATCCGACAAACACTCCACAGACAGTTACACACGAGAATTGCACGCAAAGAAATGCTTATGAAGACACAGAGACGATCGAACGGCAGGTGTTACGCCATAGGCTACTCTACATCCTGCCCTATCTAATGTCTCTTTCGGCCCATAATTTAGTGTGTGGGCAAACCCTCCTCCCCTCTGAAGTCCATTTTCGTACCGCATTTGAACTGACATTTGAAAGGTAAATACATTACTCCGTACATGCAGCGATTGCATAAATGCATGATCAAAATAACTATCGCGTTTGCATAAACAAGCAAAAGTGTCGATGGACAACACTTTAAATAAAATATGTTTTATGATACAACAAATCGTCGCGACTTATTTTTACACCTTTGACATGTACACGCTATCGGGATTTTTTTATTTCTTTTTTTCATTAGGTTATTTTATTTTTATCGCAAAACGATATGAATAAACATTAATAAGAGGTATATGCCGACGTGAATACATAAGAGACACGCTATTTAACGGATTTAAAAAAATTTGGTTTCTCAATAAAAATATTAACTGTGCCTGCCTTCGTAAACAGGAACAAACAGCAAAGTGATCAGCGGAGGTAGTTACAAATCTGCTGTTTTCGATACTCAACCACGTCAATGTCCTGCCTTAATGATGCGTTTTGCACATGCATAGCAACTGATAGCAAAATTATTTGTGCAAAAAATTACATAAATTTAATGTTCTCGCTATCTGCCCTTCACAAAGTGTGACACGCATCTAGTGAGGTAAACGAGTTATTAGCAAGTTTCCAGCCCAGCTGTTAATAAGCAGATGCCAGTTCCACGCCCGTATAAAAGTTAACTAAACCGCAATAAGAATTCTAAAAAAAAAAGAACGAAAAGGTCTTCTTCTTTATGACCTGCTTTTATACCCTATATCGCTTGTAGTACAAGCACATATTAACTTTGCTTGGACGCTTACAACACAAAGAAGGAGGAGTTGAGATAGACTAATAACCGTTTGTTATGCCGATCGTTTCAGATTTAAATATGTCTGTCCGTCTGTCCGCGTTTGTGAGAAAATTTTGTACACCGACGTGTCATGTGTCAAGGACGAACATCGTTGAAAATAGTTCGGTTCGGACAATTTCTTCCATGGCATCGCATACAACGTCCCATCTTAAATAGCTCACTGTACTGCGTTTACTTGCTTTTTCATGTGTTTCGTGAAATTTTACCCTCACACTTGTGTTCGATGCTTACTAAACCATTCCCATTTACGCTACGTCAGTCCGTTATCTTTTAACGTCAAATAAAATTCAAAGGTTTAAAACGTTTTAAGTACTTGAATATGAGAGAATTGAAGCGCCTTCCAGATGTCACTCAACTAACTAACTATCCTTACTCCAAGCATCCACACATTTCGTTAACAATTATTTCTTTCACAAGAATAGTGAGACAATTACACATGTCGTTGATTTCGTACGTGTGCAATCATGAATTTATTTCAAATGTCGGCATAA